CCATAGGCGCCGAGCCAAATGTACTGAGTCTTTATAAACTATTCCAGACCATATTTTTAACATCTTTGAATGAACATCTAAAGCAGGAAATAAAATTGGATGCATCTGGCAAAAACACATTTACTTTCATAGCACAGACATGAATAAACAACTCAAAAGCAATTTTAGGATTTTTTTTCTCTTACAAGAATGTAACCATTTTCTAAAGCCTGCAGAAATACATTATTTAAATAACTTTGTTTTTCTTAAACAAGAGATCTATTTGGTCGAAGCTTATGGAGTTGTCATATTACAGGTCAGAAACAAATGTTTACAACTGCATATGCTTCAATCTAGTATTAGTCTAATTATTTCAAATAATTCTAAAGGCTCTAAGATTAATACATATCAATACAAGATTTACACTTAAAAGAGCAAATGTTGTTTTGTAAAGGAATGCCACTGTAAGATAAATAGTACTCAGTGCCCATTTGTAGTTCCAAAGGGTGCTAGCTAATCAATTCTAAAATATTTACATGTAAGTTCACACATCAAAGATTACTTCTCAAGGAATGCACTTTTATATACTAAATTTACTGTTAACTTAGCAAAAGTAGGTTTCCAAATCAAATCCTTTAAGATCACTGTAAACATATAAAAATAACAACTCACACTTGATCCAAGTTTGATGGATATAGCTGATGCTTTCTTTGTCATCTGACTACCTATGGCAAATCCAAACTTGGAGATCTTTGTAGGCTTTGTTGGGAGGTCTGCAGCTTCTTCTTCAGCTGATCTCTTCTCAGCGCTGCGACTGGTACTTTCCCCTCCATTACTGGAAGAAACAGTCTTAGTTTTCACAGGTTTTTCTGCTTCTTCTTCAGGTCCTGGTGAAGTCGAAACAACTTACCAAGATGAGCTATTTTTACTGAGCAGATTGATGGGAGCAGCAACCTCAAAAAGCATCGTTATAAGGAAGATACCTCTGCAGTTGTCACCTACTGACCCAACAGTCTCTTCCACTGTTTGTTAGAGTATACAGCAGGAACTGAGATTGTGTGGCAGTAGAAGAGGCTCCCATGAATTAACTAGCATAAAATACAGAGCAATTTAAAATTATAAACACAGAGTTCACAAAAAGTAAAAGATCCTTCAACTAAACACTATAAGTTGTACAATAATCTGGTTATTTGTGGGATTTTGCATTATAGAAATTAAGATCTATAAAATTTTGTATACAAACTAGTTTGTGAGCAATTAGTAACATGGTAATATAATACATTTGGCTAACAAATTCTAATATTCTTCAATAATGTAGCACTAATCACAGAGTACCTAGTTAGGAATAGACCCATTATTACCCAAACAAGAGTGTTAATATAGCCTAGCAGAATTTTCTTGAGTGATGTGTTCCTCATGTACATCTCAGACAACCTTAAGAAATGAAAAGGAATTTCAAGGAGGGCTTCAAGGTCACCTCCTATTGAGCAATTTAATTCTATTCTGAAAGCTTAGGTATCACCTGTTTTAACTTATATGTAAAAGCTATTAAAAACATCATACCTTGATTTATATATTACTTTTTCTCATGAAAGAAAGCTAAGCTAATTACAATTACAATTTTATTGAGTAGAAAGTATACATATGTAAGTCTGGAAGGCAAGATGTGGGGTGGCACCTGTGGCTCAAGGAGTAGGGTGCTAGCCCCATATGCCAGAGGTGGTGGGTTCAAACCCCAGCCCTGGCCAAAAAAAAAAAAAAAAAAGAAAGGCAAAATGTGTTTCAGTAATTTTGTCTGTGTGTACATTGTATTAAATTGATAAAATCAGCTCATTTTCTGAGTATCTTAAGTCTGTTATATATAAGAAGGCTATTTATGAACATATTGGGAAATAAAACAAAAAAACTAGATAATCATTAAAATTTTACTTTCCTTCCCCAGTCTGCCAAATCACCTCATAGAATGTAATCTATTACAAGAGATGAAGAGTTTATGGAGAAAGATGCTCCAAGAAATAGCCCTGGCAATAATTAAGAAAGCAGGACAAAAAGCTAGAATGAGGAGAAAAAGAAAAAAATCAAACACAAATAGACGAACAAGTAAGAGATTAACAGACCAAAGGATACAGATCTAGATCTATATAGTTTTGGAATAACGGGGTCTCTAATAAGTAGTTTGAACAGAACATTTTTTTTTTGTTTGTTTAGATGAAAAATATTCCTTTGGAACTCTTAATTCCCTCTGGATGAAGGCTAAAAGTTATAATGAAAATATCGGGGAGAGAATTAGGCAGGATTATATTTTGGATTTCCCCAAGAGGAAAATATAGCACTGCAATGCTTGTTTAAAGTTCCATTCACTTACTGATATATAAAATTACAAAAGCAACTAAGAATTAAAGAATGAAGGCTGCAATTCAACAGTTGAAAAACTGAACTCAACTTAAGAAATACAGACTTTCTGGCTCGTTGCCCATAGCTCAGCAGTTAGGGCGATGGCCATATATACCAGCGCTGGCGGGTTTGAACGCAGCCTGGGCCTGCCAAACAACAACAACAACAACAACAACAACAAAAGAACAGCCTGGCATTGTGGTGGGTGCCTGTTGTCCCAGGTACTTGGGAGGCTGAGGCAAGAGAACTGCTTAAGCCCAAGAGTTTGAGGTTGTTGTGAGCTGTGATGCC